GAAAAAATAAAACAAATTAATGATATTGAAGAAAGATCAAATAAAATTTTGGACAAATCTAAGGATTTAAAAAACAAAGTTGGTAATGCTCCTAACTTACAAAGTGTAAAAACATTTTCAAAAGATATATCGGATCAAAATATTAATTTAAACAATATTACGGACGAAATAAATAAAATAAAATTAGTAATCACTACATTAGATGCGGAAGTTGATAACATAATTAATATACAAAATGACGAAATAATAAATTTAGTTTATAATATTATATTCAAATTAAATAAAGAAATAAATGAGGAGGTACAAAGAAATTTGGAAGTACTAGAAGGAACACAAAATAATATAAAAAGTTATAACTTTGAAGATGATATGAAAAAAATTGAAAAAGAAAATAATAGAGAAACACTTAGAACAACAATACAAGCCATAAATAATATCATGAATCAAATTGAGGCAAATAAAAATAAATTCATAGGTATGAGAAACGAATCTAATGGGCATGTTGATGCATCAAATAACCAAAAAAACAGTGAAGAAGACTCAAAAGAAAAAAAAAAAAGCATAAAAAAAATATATGAAAAGGTGAAACAAATATATGAAAGACTAAATACTGTAAAGGAAGAGTCACAAATTTCACTAATAGACATAAATGAAAAAATATTAGACTATAAAAAAATATTAATACGTGATGCTATATCCCAAATAACTGATAAAAAAAAAAAAGCTGAAGAAGATATAGCAACTATTGAGTTATTTAAAAAAAAAATTGAACAATTAAAAGAAAATACCGGAAATATATCAGAAAGTGAATTAAAAAGCTTTAATTATGAAGATTACGTTAATAGTAAAATATTAATACGTGATGCTATATCCCAAATAACTGATAAAAAAAAAAGAGCTGAAGAAGACATAGCAACTATTGAGTTATTTAAAAAAAAAATTGAACAGTTAAAAGAAAATACCGGAGATATATCAGAAAGTGAATTAAAAAGCTTTAATTATGAACATTACGTTAATAGTGCCAAAGATAGTAATAGTAGAATACAAATATTAGAACAAGAAGCTATTTCAATAAATAAAAAATTGTCCAGCATTACATCAGAAGATGACATTAATCGTATCAAAATAGATACTGAACAAAAATTGAAAAATTCTGAAAAAGAAAAATGTGACATAAACCATGCATTAAGTGAAATTAAAAATATGGAAAAATTGTTAATGTCAACAAAATTTAGTAGTATTATGGAAGACATAGAAAAAAATACTAAAAAAACTAAGCAAGAAAAAGAAAATGTAAAAGAGCAATTTACATTATCAGAAGGTACAAAGGGAGAGATAACAACTGATTTTAAAAAAGCAGAAGAATTAAGAGATTTACTTATGAGTACTTCTGATGAAAATTCTATTGATAGGCATATAGATGATATTAAAATAATTAAGGATCGTATCGAAGCTTATGGAAGACATAGAAAAAAATACTAAAAAAACTAAGCAAGAAAAAGAAAATGTAAAAGAGCAATTTACATTATCAGAAGGTACAAAGGGAGAGATAACAACTGATTTTAAAAAAGCAGAAGAATTAAGAGATTTACTTATGAGTACTTCTGATGAAAATTCTATTGATAGGCATATAGATGAAAAATAAATGAGGTTTTAATAGTAGCTGAACAACATAAAGAAGCTTCTAAACTGTATTACCATAACACAAAAAGAGGAAAAAATAAAATAGATTATTTAAAAAATCATGATCAATATGAAGAAAAAAAAATAACAGAAAATGTAATAAATCAGATAAATAATTATGTAAATGAATCTGAAAGTTACTTTAATGAAGCAGATATGTATTCACAAAGAACTACCAAAAATTATGAACTATTATCACCTTATAAAGAAAATATGGATAATCTTTTAAATGGCTGAACAACATAAAGAAGCTTCTAAACTGTATTACCATAACACAAAAAGAGGAAAAAATAAAATAGATTATTTAAAAAATCATGATCAACATGAAGAAAAAAAAATAACAGAAAATGTAATAAATCAGGTAAATATTTATGTAAATGAATCTGAAAGTTACTTTAATGAAGCAGATATGTATTCACAAGGAACTACCAAAAACTATGAACTATTATCACCTTATAAAGAAAATATGGATAATCTGTTAAATGAATCTTTGATTATAGCAGAAAAAATAAAAATTGAAATGAAAAAAAAAAATTTAAATGATATAAGAAAACAAATTCAAGATGATTATTACAATATTCAAAGACTAATAGAAAAATTAAAAGAGAAATTAAATATGTTGAAAGGAACAGATTCTAATATAAAAGAAAAAGAAGAAGCTAATAATGAAAAATCTAAAGATGTATTATCTCGAATACAAATTATAAGAACAAATGTTACTAACGATCTATTTGAAATAGAAATGATAAAACAGAATGCTCTTGATATATTCAATGATTCTGAAATTGATGTAGAATCAATGTCAATAAAATATGAAACAAATGAAGAAAATTTATTAGATAAGTTAAGAATAGAACAAAGAAATTTAAAAAATATTACGGAAATTTTAAAAAAATTTGAAGATCTAAAAATTATTTTGAGAAATGAAATAAATAGATTAAAAACTATAGATACTAGGGCTAACGGTATGGAAAGTGAAATGAAAATACTTAAAAAAAAATATGAAGAAGGGATATTAGAAGAAATAAAGAAAATAGCTGACAAAGAGAAACATAGTATTACATCCATAAAAAAATCAGTAAATTTAAATATAGAAACTTCTGTCTCATTTTTTTTAAATTCCTTATTAAAAGAAAATGATATCACAAAAAAACATGAAGCTTCTAAAAGAAAAATGAATGAAATAAGTGATGCGTTTGATAAATCATATAATGCAATAGAAAATTATATGCTAAATATTTTAGAAAATTCTACAACATATGAAAAAGCGAAAGAGCAAAAAGAAAGAGCAAAAACAGAAAAAGAAAATCTCATTGAAAAAAGGAAGGAAATGAAAAATTTGTTAGATAATATTAAGGAGACTAATAAAAACGAGACTATGAAGTTAATATCTTACTTGAAGGAAGAGTTAAACAAAATAAATGAAAAATCTAAGGAAGAGTATTTAGGTGTTAAAAATAATCTAGATGATATTAAAATTATTGGTGAAAATATTAAAAATATAGATGATCCAGTTACTGCACTGAGTGAATTAAATATAGCGAAAAATAAAGACAATGAAATAAAAACAAGAAAAGATAGATATTCCTTTTACAAAAGTGAGGTAGATGTAATTTATAATGGAATCGTTGAAGCAGTAAATTTTCTAAACACATTTATTGAAACAGAATCAAGACACCAAGAGATCATAAATGATATGAAAGAGATTATTGAGAGCATGTTAAAATTTTTAGATGACATAAATAAAAAAGAAAAAGAAAGTGAACTCATCATTATCGAAGCTAGTTTAATTTATGAACAAATTAAATTTAAGGATGAACTTAAGAAAAAAATTAAAGAAGAAAATAACGAAGCCGATAATATTTTGTCTAAAATACAAGAAGTTTATGAGAAGATTAAAAAAATAAAGGAAATAAATGTTGATATTGAAAAATATAATGAAACTTTAACAGACCACAAAAACAATCATGATTTTAAAGAATTAATGGATTCATATAAAGAAAAATTAAGTAGAATGAAAAACAAATTAGAAATAGACACAATAAAAAGTGAAATTCATAATATTAAAGATTCCTTAAATAATTTAGAAGAAAGTCTTGGAAAGTTACAAAAAGATACATCTGCCACTACATATCTAGAAAAAATAGAGCATGACATTGATGTAATAACGAATAAATTAAATAACACACATGAAAATATTTCAGAAATTAATACTTCTTTTGATGAATTATTAGAATTAGGACAAAATTGCAGATTATCTTTAAAATCTTTAATTGTTACAATAATTAATGTTGAAATATCAGAAGGTATATTATTTATTCAAAAAAAAGAAAAAGACGCTACTTCACATGTTGAATATATCAAAAATAGTTATGATGCACTAACTAAAGATATTAATACATTAAATAATGATTATGCTCAAAATATCATAAGAGATTATAAATCAGAATATGTTCAGAAATCACAGCAATATTTGGATGAATTTAAAAAAAAAGAACAAGAAACTATGGGTACAATTGATGATATAAAAAAAGAACTTTCATCATTTAATGAAATAAATGATACAGAGAATACAAATGAAAAATTACAAAAGATAAAACACCTTCATGAAAAATTCAAAAATGAAATAAAAGATATAAATAATATTTACAATAATATTTGCAATATTAAATTAAAAGAAATAGAAAGCATTTCTAAAAAATTTCTTGAGATAGCTGATTCGCATAAAAATATGATAAATGATCAAAAGCAAATTCTACTAGAGTACAGTAAGAACCTAAAGAGAATTGAAGATTATTTATCAAAAAAAGAACAAGAATTAATACTTATAAAGCCTAGTGATGAAGAAGAGGTTATACAAGAAACTAATAAAATTTTTGAAGGTATTACGAATAATATCAAAGAATTAAGCACTTTAGAAAATGAAAATAATAATAAAAAAAAAAATATGGTCATATATACAGAGAAAATTTTATATTTAACAGAAAGATCAAAATCTATTTTAAAAGATTTAGAATTATATCAATATGAAAAAGATAATAATCTATCAGAAAATGAAAATGAGGAACTACTAAATAAAGTAATTGAATATAAAGAAACAATTAAAAAAGAAAATATTGAATTAAAAAATGAATTTTCAATTATATTAAATAATGTAGAACAAAATAAAGAAATTGTACTTTCCAACGAAAAAATTATTCTTTCAATTAATGATATTTTAAAAAAATTAAATAAAATAAAAGGAGAATTTGAAAAAGAATTAATCAAAATAGAAAAGAAAAATCAACTAAAAAAAGAAATATCAAATGAAGATAGAAGAATAATAAATCAAGATAAAATACAGCAATTAAATTATAAAAGTATATCAACACCTAGCAATACTAAAAGTAATTCTCAATATGATAAAGATAAACAGAAATCAGGAAAAAAAAATGAATCTAATAATCCAATAACAAAATTAGCAGGAGGTATATTAGGTAGCTTGCTAGCATTTTCTTTTGCCTATTTAGTTATTTTCTTTAAAAATAAAAATAAGGAAGATGATATTGAAACAAGTGATACTGCTAGAGAATTTGAAGATGGAAATTCATTAAGTTATGAAAATACGAATGAAGAAGTTATTGAAGTATCCTTTTTTAGAGGTGAAAGCCTTTAGTAGGGAAATTGAGGCCTATTTTTCATCTTTAAATTATTCTAATCTTTAATTATTTTTTTTTGTATATTTACATTCATTTTATGCAATATATGTTGGATTTTGCTCTTGTTTTCTTTCTACTATTATATATGTAAAATTTTTCATTTCTTTTTTTATTCTAATATTGGTCTATAAATAGTAATACTGGCTTGTTTTAAATTATATTTAAATAGAGCAAAAACACTTTTATTTATTCGTGTTAAAATGAAAGAAAAGTATGCATTAATAAACGCATACAATAAAAAAAATATAGATATATTTTATTATATTTTTTTTTTTTTTTTTTGTGATAATAACTTAAAAAGAATTATTAATTTTTTTTTTGGTAAAGATAAAATATTTTTTTTTATGAAAGATTAAGAGTGTAATGTAAGATGCAATATATATTGGATATTATATAAATTAGCATCAATAGCAATTAGATAATACAATTAATGTTCAATATTATGTAATAAAAGTTAATAATTTGATTCGCATTTTAATTAAACGAAAATAAAATAAGTAGAGTTTTCTTTATATGCACTTTATTTAATTGTTTGTTCAATATTAATAGTCACTGAACGAGTAACTAATATATTATATATTATATTTCCTTTTAATTGTAATAATCTTTGTCATTTTTTGAAAAGGATATTTTTATGTTTTATTTAATGTCATATATTTGTTTAAATTTTAATTATTCCTAATAAATGTTTAGTATTTATACAAATAAATACATTTAGTTTATAAAATTATTATTTATGTTATTTTAAAAATTGAAAAGAATTAGAAAAGTTAATATAAGATATACTAGAATCATTTAATACAGTAGTTTGTTAAGTCCTCATTTAATTAATGATAAATAATTAGTATTATAGACCTATTTTTTAATTATAGTTGGAATAAATATAAAGTATATGTTATACTTATGCATGTAAAATATGTGAGTGATTAATAAAAGCATTTATTAACCTTTTTGGTAATAAAAAGAACTATCTATATGAAGAATACGTAGTTGGTCATACACACACAAAAAAAAAAAGAAAAAAAAATTCAATAAATTTTTTTTTCTTTTTTTTCTTTTGATAAATGGAAATACGTAAAAAAAATATATTTTTTTTTTTTTTTGAGAAATTGAATGAAAGAGAGAGAATTGGTAAAATAAAAATCGGTAGTAAGATTTAGTATCAATAAAAATGATATCTTAAACAGATAAAAGATATTTACATATAAAGGATTTTAATTTACATAATATTTATATTTTTAATTTGTGAGAGAAAATTTTATACATATAACAATAAAATTTTTAGGTAATTAATATTTATATAATTAATTTCTATTGTTACTAATTGTTTATGTTTGTTAATTAAACAGCAATATATTTAAATTGATGAACATAACTCATAACAAAGAAATAAGTAATTTACATTTAATTAATATTGAATGTTCAATAAGGATTTAAATTTTTAATAAAAATAAGGATTTTTATTAAAGTAAATAAATACCTATTGAAATCAAAGAATGCTGAATGAAGTAGATGACATAATTAAGGATCACTCATTCAAAGCTGTTTTAATAACTGGGTGTTGGGTGACTTAGATAGAGTACTGAACAAACAAATTAATAAAGAGCACTTAGAGTTACCTCTACGGTTTTGTTGTATTTATATATATTTTTAAATGCTTTGAACAAGTGATCCTTAATTATGTAATCTACATTATTCAGCATTCTTTGATTTCAATAGGTATTTATTTACTTTAATAAAAATCCTTATTTTTATTAAAAATTTAAATCCTTATTTAACAATGATTATTAATTAAATGTAAATTACTTGTTTCTTTGTTATGAGTTATGTTCAGCAATTCATATAAATTTCTGTTGATTAACAAACATTAACAATTAGTGACAATAGAAATTAATTATATAAATATTAATTACCTAAAAATTTTATTTTTATATGTATAAAATTTTCTCTTACAAAATTAATTAAATCATACTTCCTTCCAAAAAAAAAAATCTCTTTTTTTTTTTTTATCTCATTCTTATTGGTAACAAATCTTTTTCCAATTTATTTTTTTTTTATCAATTTTTTTTTTCCTGATGACCTTTGTTTTTTTTTTTATAAAAATACAAACAAAAAAATTGATCATTTTTTTTTTTTTTTTTTTTTTTTTTTTTTTTGTGTGTGCATGACCAACTACGTATTTTTCATATAACTAGCCGTTTTATTTTCCAAAAATGTTAATAAAGCCTTTTATTAACCAAAAGTATTTAAAAATATATAAAAATTCATTAAAATCGTAGAGGCAACTCTACATGCTTTTTATTAATTTGTTTGTTCAGTACTCTTACAAAGTCACAGAACACCGAGTTAATAAATCAGCAATAGAATCAATAGTAATCATAAAAAAAAATAAAAGTAATAATAAAAAAAATATTTTTTTTTATCTTTCTTTTAATTACTAATTTAAATTTTTTGTTTTTTTAAATTTATTCAATTGAAAAAATTAATTCTTCAAAAAAAAAAAAAACATAAATATTTTTTTTTCTTTTAGAAAGCCATTCTTTTAAACTTAAAGTATGCATTTCCAGTTTATTATTTTTTATGGTGTTTCCTAACTATAATTTATGAGGGTTTAATAATATTTTTTTTTAACTAGTATATCACAAGAAAAATAAAAAGACAGAAATAAAATACTTTTATTAAAAATATTATTTATTAATTGCATATTCTATGACTTTTTTAGGTGATTAATAAAAGGAAATTAATAACCTTTTTGAGAAGAAAAATAACTATCTGTACGGAAAATATGTAATTAACCATGCAAATGCTAGATAAAAAAAAAGATATATTAGTTCATTTTTTTTTTGTTTCTTTTAATAAATTAAAATACATAAAGAAAAAATATATTTGTTTTTTTTTATCAGAAAAAAAAAAGATTCTATAGTCGAAAAAATAATGTTCAAAAAAAATAAGTAATTTATAGGCAAAAGAGTTTTCTTTTGTAGGAAATTTTTATTTTGAATTTTAAGAGAAAATTTTATATATATATTAATAAAATTTTTATGTTTATAATATTTATATAATTTAATTTGTATTTCACTAATTACTTATGTTCCTTAATTTAAAAGTATAAGGCTTCAGTTGTTAGATATAATTCACAACAGAATAAATAAAATATATTTATTTAAGAATCAATATTCAACGATGATTTAAATTTTTATTAATAATAAGGATTTTTATTAAAGTAAATAAATGCCTCTTGAAAACAAAGAACTTCCAACGAGGTAGATTACATAAATACAGTTTAATTGTTTATAACATTTAAATTATACATGAAGTCAACTCTATATGCTCTTTATTAATTTGTTTGTTCAATACATTAGCGAAATTAATGAATAAGCAGTTAATAGGTAACTAAATTATTGAACAAACAGATTAATAGAGAGCACGTAGAGCTTCCTATATCAATTTAGTGAATCGGTATTTAATTTAATGCTATATACCAATACACTATATTTATATAGTATGTCTCATTAATCATTTATTTACTTAATTAAAAATCCTATGTTTTTGTTAAAAATTTAAATTCTCGTTAATTATAGATTTTTAATTTTTTAAATTTTATTTATAATGTTATGAATAATGTTCAGTAATTTCAATGCATTACTACAAAATTAACAAATATAAGTAATTAACAAAATACAAATTAAATTAAATAAATACTATAAATACCAAAATTTTATTATTGTCGTATAAAATTTCCTTTTAAAATGTTATATATAATTAATTCAGAGTATTCATTACTCTTATTTTTTCTATAAAAAAATATATTTTTTATGTATTTTTTTTTAAACTTAGCTAAACAAAAAAATTAATTCTTAATAATTTTTTTTTTATCTAGTGCCTGCATGGCTAACTATGTATTTTCTTTACAACTCATGATTCTTTATTTTCAAAAAGGTTAATAATATCTTATATTAACCAAAGCTCTATATTTAAATGTGTTGAAAATTTTAATATATATTATGTAATACTATGTTCTATATCTTACATATTTTTTATGAGTTAAAGCTTTATTATGCTAGCTTAGATTATTAATTTATTATAGAGGAATTAATTATTACAATAAGTATAATGTTTTTTCTATATTATCATAATTAAATTATTTTTTCATTGCTTCATGGAAATATTTAATGAAAGGTAGATAAACAATCTTGATTATTATTTAATCCTAACATTTTACTAATTATTAATTTTATTTATTTTGCATATTATATTGGTAAATATAGTATATTATTTAACTTTTCAATATATAAATATAATGCACATGGGAAAATAAACAATACTAATAACTATATGTACGCTAAAGTATGTTAATTGGATATATAGTTAAAATTTTAAATAAAAAGATAAAAATAGTTCTATCAAATAATCATGTTTCTTAAAAGAGTTTTTTTACACTAATTATTTTTAGTCACGGTATTATTAATAATATATTATATTCTTAAAAATGAGAATTCAATATAGCTCAAAGAATAAAAACATTAAAATAAAAATTTTCAGAGAAAGTACTGTGTATCCATATTATATACAGTGGTTATTTTAATTTGCGTTAACAAGTTATATTAAAGCATGCATAATTACAATAATTAAAATATTTTTAAATATAAATTCTATACAAAAATATAGAACATTCAATTCAATAAATCTCTTTATTTGAAATAAATTCTTATTACAAAAAATATTGTAAAAATTACAAGAAGACAAACGAAATTTTTTTTTTGAAATATGTAATAGAATAAATAAATTAATAATATTTTTCATTACATTTTAATGATTTAACTATTTTAGTTTATACTTTATTTTCTCTTTCCTAAATAACCCTTCCTTTAAATTTATTATTGTTTTTAACATATAAATATTTAATTTATAAAAAGAATTAATAGTTATGATCATATAAATTTATATATACATAACA